AAAGTTCGGTTCTCAAAGAGTTATTATTAGCTAATCTGAACTCTATAATAAAATTTACAAATGTTCTAGAGTTTTTCATTCAGATTAGAGAGAATTTAATAGTATTCGGATTAGAGAGGTTCAGATTAGAGAGAGTTGACTGTATATACTTTCTACAAACTGCCTTTAGTAAAGTAATATTCCACTTTCACATCACTATAATCTCGCAACGGAGCTCTATAGTTATGTGCTTTGTTACTTGTACTATATTAAGAAGGCTACAGTCCACTTGTAATACTGTTCTTCTTTCTATTCTAATTTGATATTTTTTTTGAGTAGTTGATTCATTGGGCTGCTATTTTTAAAAAATTGGCTATGAATCTTTTATAATAAGAAGCAAGTTCAAGAAAAGCTCATATTTGGGTAATAGTTTTAGGGACAGGATAATTTTTAACTTTTCTATTTTTGCTAGATCAGGTGAGACTCTATTTTTACTAATTATATGTTCTAAAAATGCTAGTTCTTGTTTGATAAAAAAGCATTTTTCAGATTGAAGTTTAAGGTTTGCTTTTCTAATACATTCAAATACAAGATGAAGATGTTGGATATGTTTATCAAAAGTTTTTGAGAAGATATTGATGTCATTAAGATATACTACAACAAACTTTCAAAGATATTCTTGTAGTATATTGTTCATTAAATGTTGAAATATAGCTAGGGCATTAGTTAATTCGAAGGGCATTACTTTGAATTCATATAGTCTATATCGAGTAGTAAATGCAGTTTTGAGTACATCTTGAGGAGCCATGGCTACTTGCCAGTAACTACTTGCTAGATCTAGAGAAGTGAGCCATCCAGATCCTTGTAATATATCTAGAAGTTCATCAATTCTTAATAAAGGGTAACTATTCTTTTTAGTTACTGCATTTAATTTTCTATAATCTACGCAAAATGTAGTTTTTCATTTTCTTTTTGACGATAACAACTGAAGAGGTCTAAGGACTTTTAGAAAACTAAACAAGATCTAGATTAACATTCTTTAAATTTCTTCCTTAATAAAATCTGATTCTTTAGGTGAGGTTCGATAAAATTGTTGTTTTATAGATTTATCATTTTTAACTTTGATTTCATATTGAATTTTATTATTTCTTCCTAGATCAGAATCATTTTGAGCAAAGATATCAATATATTCATTAACAAGATTATAAAATTCTTTTTGTTGTTTTTCATCCAATTCTCTAACATTAAGTTTAGGAGAAAGGTTAAAAGAATCTTCTATTTTATCTTCATGGAAGGTTGGTAAGATTTTTTAGATTTCATTCCTCATTGGTTTTTGTATAACAGTATAGGCACATCTGTTTTAAGTTTTCTTTTTCAATTTCTTGCCAAAGATTAAGAGTATAGATTCTTTCTTCAAGTTGTTTGTCTTCATATTTAGTAGATTCATCAGATTCACTTAAGAATTCATATTCACTTTCACTTTTATCAAAGCTTTCTTCTTTTGTTTTTTCTTTAGATATAGCTTCAACTTTTGGAATTCTAGTAATATGTCTAAATTCAATGAAAACTTGAATTTTTATATTTTTATTTTTAATCTTCATTACTGATTTTTCTCAGTTAATTTTTGTTTTGGCTTTGGATAGCCAGTCATTACCAACAATTACAGAATATATGTTAGTATCTTCAACTACTACATCAATTAGTAAAGAATATTCACCAATTTTAATAGATAAGTTTTCTACTTCTCCAAGAGGTCTTCTCTTTTCTCTATTTACATTTAGCATTAAAGTTGTTGATGGTTTTGTAATTTTTAATTCAATATATTTAAGAAAATGATTAGAGATAATACTTTCAGCAGAACTACTATCAAGAATAATATTGGTAGTGACTCCATTAACATTAGCTTGACAATATAATGCTGTAGTCCTAAATTTTCTATCATCTGCATATTGAGCAGTAACTATAGGTCCAGGAGCAGATTTAATCTTTTTTTTTCGAAGGCTTCTACTTAATTCTCTTAAGTATTTGGGGTTTTCAGCAGCAAGTTGAGCAATAGAGATATTTGCTTTGATTTGTTGTAAGTCTTCAACAATTGAATATTTTGATACATCTTTACTAATCATTAGTTTATGAAATCTTGAACCTTGTAGAGGATTTCTTTTCTTTTTAGCTTTAGAAGTTTTAGAACTTTCTGCTTGAGAATCATTTACTACAATATTTTAAACTTCTAGAGTTTTATTTTCTTCTACTACTTTTCTTCTTTTTTCTATAGGCTTCATTAATATTATTTTTATCATCTTCTTTTAAATAGATCATAGAAGAGTTTGTATTATCTTGAGAAGCATCAGAACCTTTTTTATTTACTGACGTTGATTTAAGTTTAAATGTTGTAAGAGAGTGGCTAATTGTTGTTTTTTTTTTTTTTTTTTTTTTGAAGGTGAGGTTTTGCCTTTATCTTTATTAATAATTTGTGTTGAGAATCCACTA